CTGCCGCCGCCAGGAGGCGCCCGAGCCCCGCGCTCCCGAGCGTCTCTGCGCGGCGGGCCGGGCCCAGCCCAGAGGCAGCTGCGCTTCGGCGGAAGCGCGGCCCGGGTCGGATACGGGTGACGGGCCAGGAGGCGGCGGCGGCTCGAAATCCCTGGGAGAGCCGCGAGTCAGACGGCGGCGGGTGCGCGGCTGCCTGGGAGGTGCGAGTGGACCTGTCCTCGGCTGTGGCTTTCCCGCCGCCCGTCCCCGCCCCGGTTTCCGTAGCGTTTGGGCACAGACCACAGCCGACTGGTCCCGGCGCCAGGGCGCGCGGTCTCCACGATCTCAGGGCCCCTGGCGGCGGTGGACGCGGGGAGGGTGCAGGTTTGCGGGCGGTGGTTCTGGGAAGGAAAGACCCTCGCCTCCCGCCCGCCCTGGATGTGGGCCCTGCCAGACCCCCAGCTCCTGCGGTTCCCCGCCTGGGAGCGGGGCAGGGGCACCGTCCCGCCGCCAGGGGGAGATGCCGCGCCAACCCCGACCGTGGGGTCCGGCCCGGGAGGCAAGAACCCCTCCCACCCAGCAGAGCACCCAGGGCAAGTCCCCACTCCGTGCCGAGGACTCAGCTAGGGTGCGGGGGTGTCCGGGAATGGAAAGGACACGAGGGTGTGGGCGCCTCTCGCCTGGTGCCTGGTGCCTTTCCGGGAGGCTGGGCGTAGGGCAGCGGGTGGGGGACAAGGGCGTGACATTCCTCAAGGGCCTCCCCCCAGCAGAAGTCGGGTCTGCAGTTCCAGCGTGATTCGTTGATTGTTGGGTGGAACCGCTTCGCATCAAATGTATCGTGGCTCCAAACACTGACCCGTTTACTTTCCGAAGCCCCCGCTGGCGGTGGGCGGGTGAGGGCGTCTGCAGTGGCCAGGCTTTCCGCGGGGCGGCGCGGTTGGATAAGAAAAGGCTTCCCGGCTGAGCAGTGGCGCGCAGCTCCGACACCGGCGGGTTTCGAGATGTCCCCGTGACGTGTCCTCTGCACCAGGGCTGCATTCCCCAAATAACGCAAACTCTCTGCTTTTGCACTTGGCGCCTGGAGTGCGATGAAGAGGCTCAAGGTATCCAGCCCAGCCCTTCTCCCCTCCCCCCTCAGGCTGCTGATGTGACATGCGTGTAACTGTCACCCTATGCAGGACATGGAACACTTCCATCACCCCAAAATGTTCCCTTCTAATGGAATAACATGTTCTGTCCTAACAGAAGAACAGCGCGATACTTACAGGTATCAACTGAAAGGTGCAGATGAAAAATCCTGTCCTCCCTTTGTTGCTTGTGGTGGTTTTTGTTTGTTTGTTTGTTTGTTTGTTTTTTTGAGACGGAGTTTCGCTCTTGTTACCCAGGCTGGAGTGCAATGGCGCGATCTCAGCTCACCGCAACCTCCGCCTCCTGGGTTCAGGCAATTCTCCTGCCTCAGCCTCCTGAGTCGCTGGGATTACAGGCACAGGCCACCATGCCCAGCTAATTTTTTTGTATTTTTAGTAGAGACGGGGTTTCACCATGTTGACCAGGATGGTTTCGATCTCTTGCCCTCGTGATCCACCCGCCTCGGCCTCCCAAAGTGCTGGGATTACAGGCGTGAGCCACCGCGCCCGGCCTTCTTGTGGTGTTTTTACCTTTCTTCATAAAATGGTACAAAGAAAGCCCAGGTCGCTGACCCCAGCCTCTCTCGCACCTGAAGACAATGATCATCACTGCTCCCACATATTGAACACCTTCTAGGGCAGGCACCTTCTCCCTGCTTCTCATTGTCTAATCAGATCATCATAACCAAGCTGTCCTCCTGCAGAGGAACCTGTTTCAGAGAAGCTAAGCACCTGATCTCATAATCAAGCCAGTGTTCTGACAAAATCATCCTGGGAGCAGAGGTGGGATCTACCAGGGCGTCCTCTTCTATTCCAGAATAGTGGGCAGGGGTGAGGGAGGACAAAGATACCGTCCCACTTTACAGAAGGCAGTTGGGTGACTTCTCCACCAGGTAGGTTCTGCCAGCTCTTCTCTGGCAGCCAGTGCCCGGGTCCCGGCCTGGGTGGTGACGGCTGGGGTTCCTTGGCATCCTCAGGGAACCCTGCACACCAGCACCTCCACTGGGTGTCAAGTGGCCATCCCAGCCAGCAGGTGTCCCCTGAGAACTGAGGGGTCCACCTGAGGGGCACACTCTGGAACCCGGTCTCACTCCTGGGCCCGGGCTTTCCATGATCTCGATGGCATGAGCAACTCCCCTCTCCCCCCAGGATGATAAGGGGTACAGGAAAAATTGATTTTTACATTGCCAACTGATCTTACGACTGTAATTAAATGATTACTTTTTCATCTAATGTGGGGAAAGATAAAAGAAGCTAACATGTTCTTTTGGGTATAGTGTTCCCCTAATCTGAGAGATTTGCAAGTTTTTTTTTT